AGCATAAAAGTCTCTACAAAACACAAAAAAACCACTAAGACATGATTACAAACTATAAAAGTGTTTGTTAAAAATAGCTTCATACCAAAGGAATATTAAAAATAAAGATTTCAAACTAAAGCTCATTTTTTAATATGCTGCTTAACAGGAGTTTTTAACAAATACCAATAGACAGAAACAAAGTTAGAAAGGGACTTAAAAGGTCCTTTATTCCTTTTCCATATCTTCAATTAAGACCACAATCAAACCACCCAAGGCAAAAGAAATATATTTAAAGATATCAAGTGAAAATTAAACACCTATTCCATCTTTTAAACTACTCTAACAATTTATCTGGCAAATGCCTGTACACACCTGACTTTTACTAGGTATTCTAAGCTAAGGCATAATTTCTCTAGGTCTACTATATATAAGGATAGCTAAAACTGGAGAAAAAAATGTTTTTAAAACATTGAACACATTAAAATATATACATATTTTTATTTACAAACATATGTTCAAATATCAGTAAAATCATAATATAAATCAGTTCAGAAATGAGATACAGAGAATCAAAGTATTATATGTTAGAGGTTTTGGGATCTCAAATCATCTAATGAAACTTCTCGTTTCTTTGAAGATGAAAAGAAGGCAAAAACATATATATTAGTATTAATGGCCTATAAAATAACATTTTATAGCATTAAAGGCAGCTTCATTTAAAAGAATAATCCTTCTACATATTCAAATCTTTATTCTGTAATATAACTACTACCTGATCTACTTGCTTAATATGCTCAATTAAAGTCACAGAACATGGCCTTTTTGTCAGACAGAAGTGACAGTCGTGTCACACTGTTAGTAATATAACCACACTAGACCAATTTTTTTTTTTTCTTTGAGACAGAGTCTCACTTTGTTGCCCAGGCTAGAGTGAGTGCCGTGGCATTAGCCTAGCTCACAGCAACCTCAAACTCCTGGGCTCAAGCAATCCTGTTGCCTCAGCCTCCCAGGTAACTGGGACTACAGGCATGCGCCACCATGGCCGGCTAATTTTTTTATATATATTAGCTGGCCAATTAATTTCTTTGTATTTATAGTAGAGACGGGGTCTCGGTCTTGCTCAGGCTGGTTTCGAACTCCTGACCTCGAGCAATCCGCCCGCCTCGGCCTCCAATTTTTTTTTTTTATTTTAGCGTATTATGGGGGTACAAGTGTTAAGGTTACGTATATTGGCTCAATTTTTATGCAACTAAGTTGTGAGTTGTTTTTCAGTTGCCATGGACCCCCAGGTTGAAGGTCATATAACGTGAGCGTGCCCAGATGAATCAAGCATGCAACCATAGGTGGAACGCTGTTTAGAGCAACAGCGAGGACTCAATTAACAAGTGGCCACCACATGCTGGATCCAGGATCCAATCAGATTAAGCCCTGGCATGACCCCACGGCAGGACCCAGTCAGTTCATGGCTCCCAACATCAACTCGTTGCAAAATCCAATGTTTATAAAATCCTATGTTTATAAAACCAGCTCAACCTTTGTGTTTGGTGACAGAAAACGTTGGGAACTATTCCCAGTGCGCGCCTTGCTTGTGCCAAGTAATAAAAAACCCCTGGCTATAACCAACTTAGCTGTGCCGACTGACTTGATATCCACCAAGCGAATGAACTCCTCTGCTGGGGAGGCAACAGTAAAGAAGGGGGAGAAGAGAGACGCTTTCAGTTCTTGAGCACTTAGGGTTTCTTCCATTAAACTGTTTTGTCTTCCCATAATCATATAAAATCGATAGTATTAACACCACTTATGAGATAAGGGTATAGATTTGAAGACTTGCCTATGATCACACAGAAAGTAAGTTGTACTTCCAGAATTAGACAACACCAGGAGTCAGATCTGTTTGGCTCCTTCCACTATATCACTTTCAGTAAATGATAGCTAGGGAAATGTTCTCTATAAAAACATATCACTAAATTTTAAGAATATTACTGTAAAATATTGAGAAAATAAAGCATAAAGTAGTAATCTATAAGGGCATTTCTAGTTTTACTGTTATATTTATTTAAAAAATAGACAATTATTAGTTAAACTGATAAATCTAAATGGTTGAGGAATGATCCAATCATCAGATCTTGGTCTGGATTCTGTTCTCTTCAGCAACATATTAGGCTACTGGTTTCCTCACTAGTTAAGCTCCCCCTTAATAAATCAATCAAAATTTAAGGAGAAAAATCACACAACCTCATGTTTTACTGCCATTGAAAACTGATTTCTAATTTCACTCAATAAAACAATTCTTACTTGCCCTTGCTCAGTTCCTTTCCCACAGTGGCTATTCCAAATCTCCACAGTTCTGCTTTTATACCTCAATCTCTTCTCTTACCAGTTGACCTTTACTCCTATCTACCTCTTAGAGACCATAAGCTTTGACCTTGCACTTTTTTTAATACCCAACATGTAAATATCTATATCTAGTCTCATTTCTTCCTTTCTCATTGCTGCTTCTCTTCTATCAATACTAGCATAGTGCCTAGGAATACAGCTAGCACTTAATTGATCTTTCTTAAATGTGACAAATTAATTCAAGAACAATTTTTTCACACTCCTGCTGAGGCAGGAGGATCTCTTGAGGATAGGAGTTCAAGACCTGGAGGCTAAGGTGGAAGGACTGCTTGCACCCAGGAGTTGGAGGTTACAGTGAGCTATGATCACGCCACTGCACTCCAGCCTGGGCAACAGAGCAAGACCCTGTCTCAAAAACAAAAACAAAAATAAGAAAAAAAAAACACCCTACAAACTTTTGTTAGTTACTGCCTCATCTCTTTCTTCTCTTCATAGTCAAGCTCCTTTTTAAAAAAAAGTGTGACTGGAAATTTTATATTAAGGAAGTACTGTTAAGTAGAATAATGATATTAAAGTCATATTTTTTTTAAAAAAAAAAGAATCCTTAACTTTTAAAAATACATATTGAAATAATTACACAAAAAAAGGTACGATATCTGCATATCTTCAAAATAATCCAACTGGGAAGCAGGGATTATAGATGAAACAAACTTGGTTATGTGTTCATTCTTCAAGCTAGGTGATAGTTACATGGGGGCTCATTCTATTTTCTCTTCTTTTGCATATGTTTTGTTATGGAAAAATTTAAACATTTTTAAAGTAGCCTATGCTCACTGATTCCTCTTCATTTTTGCAAAGTTTTGAAATGATTTCTAGCCACAAAATCTATTGAACACTTCTCAACCTTAACCTTATGTGCCCTCTTAAAGGCACCTGATGCCCTGGTGCCTGCTTCTTACTCGCCTCTGCTCTGTTGTCTGTTATGCTCTCTCCCAGGTCTTCTTCCTCTCTGCCTCCTAACCTCAGTCTCACATGAGGGCTCTTCTACCGTTTCTTCTTCAACATGGATCCTTCCCCAAACACACACACCACCCCTTAAATGATGCTGCTTCCAGAGTTCTATATTCATACCTCTTCCTTTTTCTTTTTACTCATTCCTCCAAAGTGAGCTGTTCCATTCTCTCCTGTAACTTCAACTATTAATACTTATCTACATGCAAACTTCTATCTCCAACCCCAATCTCTCTAAACTGCAGACCCAAATGCATCCCACCTGAATATCCCACAGGAACCTTGAACAAATATTTGAAACTGAACTAATTTATCTTTATCTTCACCCCAACAAAAACTTCTCATCTCAACCAAGGGTTTCACTATCCTCTCTGTCATCCCTAGCCAGAAATCTAGAAATCATTCATCTTGGGGTTCAAAATCTCTCTAGCTCCCAACATCCAAATTTTATTAAGTCATATCAATTTTACCTCTCAAATATTCCTCAAATCCATCTCTTTCTGTAACTCCAACTACTTAGTTCAGACTCTCTTCATTTCTCCATTGGACTTTTATTTTTTCTACAAGTGGTTTCCCTACCACCACTCTAATCTTTCCTCTCCTAGGTCCACTTTCCACAGTAGAGCTGGAGTTATCTTTCTAAAATACAAACCTGATGACATCACTACTCTATTTGAAATTTTTCAATGGTTGCCCCATGTTAAGAAAAATTCTAAACTCTGATCATGGTACCAAGTACTTTAAGATCTGGCCTCTCTCACTACTTGCAAATATCCTGGGATCCAGTCACTCAGAACCACCTAGGGTTCCCCAAATAAAAAACACTCATTCTTAAATCTATCGCTTGCTTATGCTGTGCCATTTACCTAGAATAACTTTCCTCATCCTCTCCCCAGTGAAAGCTTATTTGATTGTCTTAACACAAGCCAAAAGTCACATCACACTGAAGACCTCCCCTGACCTTGTTAGGATCTCTCTAGTAATTGACAGGGAGAATGGCATCAGTACTTGAGATCATGACTTATATCATGACTCATGAGTCACAGGAGTTGAAATCCCAGGTTCATACTTTACAAAGTATGATTTTGGGCAAGGTTTCTAAATTTGTTTCCTCATCTCTAAATAACAGTAACTAATTTACACAGTTGTTGTAAGGATTAAGTAAGAAGCTGCATGCAAAATACTCTGCACAATGCCTCCTGTAGGGTAACTATTCAATAAATTTTACTGTTATATGATTATTTATTTCCACTCTGGGTCCCTACAATTTGCACCTATCTCTATCATACCACAGTGATGACATGACTGTTTGCCCATCAAGACATAGACTATCTTCAATTGAATTCATCCCTTTATTCTAGCCACTTGGCACAATGCCTGGTGCACAGTAAATTCTTCACAAATCATGAATGATTATATAAAGTACTTCCAATCTCTACACTGTGTAACATAAGGCCTCAATTTTTTTCTTACTAAACCTACTTTCCATCTCTTTCTTGTACAAAATTGCTATGTTTCAGTAAAATTTACAGCTTCATTTTAATTGAGAGAAAACAAATTTTATAAGTTCTTAGTCTTATTTTTTTGTTTCTAAAAACACACTCATAACAATAAGCCCATGATCAATGAATTACTGTATAAAACAGCAAACATCTAAAATGGTTACCTACCTACTGACAAAGTTGCAAGGAAGGTTTTCTAAATCTGTATCTGCTTCCTTGCCACCAGGCCTTGGGTTGACTCTAACGACTAAGGTGCATTCCAGAACATTAAAAAACACAAATCAGAATATAGCATTTTTCATTCTGTAAACTTGCTCCTGAGAAATTCTGAAAAAACACTGGAATAAGCAAAGAATACAATTATTACTACCTACTGCTAAAAAAGAAAATCTGTGCTTTAAAAGTTACTAATAATTTAAAGCTGAACTAATCTTCAAAGGAGAATCGAAATCTGTGTAGGCAGTGTTCAGGTTGATGGGGGGGGATCATTTCACAACCTTGAACCTCAATAAATAAAATGCAAAACGGTAAAAAAAAATCAGCATATAATAGTAATGATATCTTATCTCTACTTCCACACTTAACCTTCTAAACATTACTGCCCTTTGAGTAATTGCTAATTGATGAGTTTAATATGCAAACACCTCTGAGCTACTTTAACCATGACTAAATATCTGGAAATAAACGAATCCAGGAAGGGAAAAGCCTGTTAAAACACGGTTTCTCGGGTCTCACATCAAATGTGTGACATACATACGGTTCTGCACCGAGAGGCAGCAACCTGGGAGGGTCAGAGGCGCCGAAGGCCCGAGGCCCTGCAGCTGGGGCGGCTGCTCATCCCTGAGACTACGCTGGGCGGTGGCCCAGCCTGGGTGGGGCTGAGTGCTGCAGCCGGGGCGGGCCAGACCACAGGGCGGGAAGCACGAGTCTCACCTCCACTTCCCTTTTCCTGCGCACAGACCCCAGTTCGGCGACCACCCCACAGCCCCCACAAGACAAAGAGAGAGATTTTCTCCCTCTCGGTCCGCTCAAAGTTTATCGGTCTCTGCCAGCGGCCGGGGCCGCCGGGCTTTGTAGTTCCCCAGGCCGAGCCGCCCTGCCGCGGCCGCAAGCCCGCGGAGCCGCAGAACTACAATCCCCATGATGCTCCGCGAGCCCCACCGCGCCCGCTCCTCTTCCCCTCCCCTCACGGCGGCCCGTGCCCGAGGAACCCCGCCGCGCACGGGCCTGGCGCCTGCGGCGGCGGGGGACGGGGCGAGGCTGCCAGCTCGAGCACCCCTCCACCTGCTGTCCCGTTCGCGCCCCTCTCCTTCGGATTCATTGCCCGGGTGTCGCAGTTCATCGCACCGTTGGCGATGCGGTCCAGATGGGGTGGGGGTGGGGCGCCGGCCGCCGCCGCCGCGGAGTCCGTTAGTTCGCGACGTGCGTGAAGAGGCGGCGGCGGCGTAGGGTTGCCATGGCAGCCGCGGGCCGTGCGGTGGGGGCCTAGCGGGGCGGGAGCTCAGGAGCGCGGGGGCTCCCCGTCAGTTCCGGGAGGAGCCTGTGGAGCCCGCCAGTGTGCGGGCGCAGGGAGGCGCGAGGGCGCGTAGGGGCAGAGGCGGGAGATGGTGACATCGAGGAGGACGGGCGGCTGCCTGGGCTGGTCATGCCTGGTGAGCCCTGCCTCGGCCGCGGCCAGCCCCCGCGACACGGCTTGTTTGTGCCCGCGGTATTCGGAGAGGACGCCTGTGGCGTCAGAGGAACGAGCCCGGGAGCGTCCGGTCCAGCCGCCTTCCCCGCCGCCGGTCCCGGCATCCCCCGCCGCGACGTGGGGAGCCTACGCTGCCTCTGTGTTTGTCACCCCTCAGATCGAATTTGCAGTCTCTCACACCTCTTTTCTGCCATTCTCTAGGGAGTGGGATAGAAAGGAATTATTCAGTAAGATAGACTGCATACGGCCACGATTGATTGTTGATTGATTATTCAGGAGGTTTTAGAACTTGTAAAGTGGCATTGATTTCCATTGAATTTGGGCCTATCCTATGTCTTAGGCAATCGTTTGCTGACTCTCCAGGATCGTCTCAGGTCGTAGAGTATAAAGAGGGCAAGAGCATGGGCTTCTAGAACCCAGCCTTGGCTCACGTCCTGCCTCTGTGCTTGGCAGCGCCTTACCTACCTGCTCTGATGCTCAGCGTTTAATCTGCAGAGTGGAGGTGTGTGTCTCGCAGTTCGTGTGAGAAATTAGCGCACTGATACTGATGGGGCACTGTACAACAAAGCCTGTCATTTAACAATAGCTATGAAATATTATTTAATCCATCGTGATAAAAGTCAAGAATGGTGGTGAGGGAGAAGTTTGACTGAGGAAGGATTTTCTGAAGTGATTCAAAAGCTCTATATCTTGCTAAGGGTTTAGGTTACAGAAGTAAATCCATTTGTTACTCATGTACCAACATTTAAGATTTGTACATTTCACTGCATGTAAATTTACCTCAAAAAGGAACATAAAAGTATTAGTTACTATTAGAGCTGTAGATGCTAATGAAATGACAGAGGTATTCTAGGCCCAATCTTCAGATTTTATAGATGATGAGGAAACTGAGGCCTAGAGATTTAATAGGGGGAAAAAGAGGTGGAGTGAATTACTGACCTTGTCATTTTCAATTTGTCAATTACTTGAGACATTATGGTTGAAAATAGCAAGCTACTCTGTGTGTAATCCAATTGGGTCACCCCTCACAGAGATTTTTGTCCCTTATCTACCTTTTGTCATTCCTCAAGGCCAAAGTCCTGTCAATGATTGCACAGTCCTGGGGGTGTACAGTCTCACCATCATTTCTGGCTCTGAGTTCTTGCTTTCTCAGAACACTTAGACTCCCTCACATCTCATCTCTTGCAACTCTTTTCTCTCTACTCCTACTGACACATAATGTGGAAATCAACCCCTTTTCTTTGGTTGTATAACGGACTCTTCTGAAAGTCTGGAGCAACTGAGGAGTTTTAAATGAAGGATGCAAAAAAACTAAAATTAAAAATCCCTGCTCTTAAAATTCCTTAAGTTCCCCTCATAGCATTTTTATCCACTGACCCCCATCCCTTCAGCATAAGTTGCACCTTTCCACAATCCACCATCTCTCTGGTCCTGTCTCTCCCCGCTCCTTTTCTCTCTTTATTCAGTATTTTTAGTTATCTCAATCTCCTATACCTTCATGGCTACCTACTATTCCTAAACTGTTTATCAAGATATTTTCCTACACAAAATAACTTCCCCAAGAGGAACTCTGGTGCCAGCTATTAATGTTGTGCATCCCAGTGTATATCTTCATATTCTATTCAGTTCATTTCACAGCGTAGTTAATAAATATTAAGCAGCTTATGTACATGACCTATTACCTTCATAGTGGGTTCCATTATGAAAACCATTTTCTTATCTTACATCCATAATAATGGTTTACTCTACTAGTATAAATGAGGAAGCAAATGATAGTAGCTGGAACCTGCTTTCTAAGAGGAAGAAAAGCAAAGTCGACATAACCATAGTTTATATTGTACAGAAGAAATGACAGCATTTAAACCATAAAGTCCAGAACAAAATCTGAATATTAAGCCACCTCACATCCTTACAGAAGCAACACCTGTACCTATCACCTGTAGCAATTTGGTTACAACTCTGCATATGTAATGAGCATATAGATTCTCCTTTACTCCTGGAGGTGATGATACTGATCTGCTACCAGCTGAACACATGTTTTTGTAGTAGGGATGATAGGTTCACCTGATCCATCTATCCCTCATCTGGTTTCCCTTGTGACCAGTCACTTGTCTGAGCAAGGCAGCTGGCCAGGGTTGTAGTGCAGCCTGCAGCCATGAAGAAGTCTCCAAAGGCAAAGTCCCAATGCATAGTGTTCCTTGTTTTTTGCAGCCAGGATCCCAGAGAATCAGCTCATCAGGACAAGCCACTGGAGAATGGATGACAGCAGCACAAACAAACAGCTGCTTTGCAGGGAGCTGGGGGTGAGCAGTCACTCAAAGGAAGACCAGGAGCCACTGAAGCACAGCCTTAAAACGCCTCACGTGGCTATGGACAGCTGGGAAGGAATGGGGACTGATGATGAACTGGAGTTTACTGTTTTCACTGGCTACTTTAGACCCATCCACGGGATAAACACAGTGTGCAAATCCAAAAGGTGAGCTGAAAGTAGTAACAGATTAATCCACACAGGCAGTGGGGGCAAAAGCCACCACTTGTTAAAAAGACTTAATGCATCTAATTCAAAGTCAGAGGTTTTTCCTCAGTTCTCAGTCTTCTCGGCCTCTGTAGCATTTGGCATTGCTGACCACCCTCCTTGGTGGCCTATGACTGGTTCTCTTCAAAGCCTTCCGACCAGAGTTCATTGTGTTATTCACCAGCTCTTCTACCTGCTCCTTAACTGTAGGGATAGTCCCCAAGGTTCAATCTCTACACCCTCTCCATCTCACGGCTGTCCCCTCTCAACTCTGGTGACACTCATTTCTGTTGCTAGTTCTGATCCCCAAGTGCTGCACCCAGCAAGCCTTGTGCTTCCTCACCTTGTTCTGTTGTTACTCTCCTCTTCATCTGAGATGCATTGGAAGATTAGATTCAGCCCCTTTTCTCACCTAAATTCTACCTCTTCTGCAAAAACTTAACATGAAACCTCTGTGTGAAAGGTTTCCAGATCATTCCTGCTCACAATTGTTATCACCCTGCATTGTACTCATAACTTGTCCTGCCTAGATAACTCACTTGATAAGCAACCATACTGCCCAGTGGCAGCTAATCCATTGTTTACTCATTGGCTTTCATCTTTTCTCCTCACTTTATTTCAAGCTCCTCCAATGTGGCATTTCTGGCTATTCCCAAAAACAACTTCATAATACCTCATGTATAATAAGGACACAATAAATCATTTTGATTGGTGGTTCCTTAACTTTTCTCCTTAGCAGAACTTCCTTTATCTGGTAGCTTTGCCCCTTCCAGTACCATACAGAACATTTGCACCCTCTCAAATATCCCGGAAGCCTATGGCAGTGTGGGCTCCCACGTGTTTTCAGTGGATGGAGTACCGTGGGAGGAAATTCCTTTAAGTCATTTTTGCTATGCGAGGAGTTCAGGAGGTAAGTAGCACTGAATTCCAATGTTCAGTTCCCAGCTACTGGTAAAGATCTCCTACGCAAGAGTTTTCCTTGCTGTGGGTCACAGCCTATTAGTAGTTCATGAAATCAATGTGATGGGTCCCTTCTAGCTGTGTAATATTTCAAATGTGATAAGACAAGGTAGTGTAGGGTAGAGTACAATAGACTAGAATGCAATGGAAGATTAGATTCAGAGGGTATGCTCATAGTTACAGTAAAGTATTTTGTGGCAGTTATTGAGCTATGGTCTTTCAGCTTCAAACCTACCCTCTATCCTCTGTTTTGTGTTGGTGGGACTGGAACTGTGCAAACCACATTTTTCCTTCGTCAGAAAGGAGCAAATAGTTTCCTCTCCTCCAGTACTCTCGGTAGCCAGAGGACAGAGGAGGCCCACTATGATTGACCGCATCCCCTCCACAATGGCCGATTAGCCAGGTGGCAGTTTTACCTGTCTCCAGCTTCATGGGCTTCAGAACTGGCCTCATGACATTTCTTCTCCCTCTGACCCAGAGTATTCTTAGCATCAGATAGGCAGTGTTCCTCTTTCAGAGTCTGCATCCCATCCCCAAAGGGCCTCTCCTCTGAACATCTGGGTTCTGATAACCCCAAAGGGCCTCTCCTGCAAACATCTGGGTTCTGATAACTCCAGCTTCCTCTTCTCTCTTCCATCTCCAGCTCTAGAGGCAAGAGCCGCTTCTTGCAGGTATTACCTATGTGTCACTTTTATTCCTTTTTTAATGTTTCAGTCCCCCAACATCTGTCTAATACAGTTCCTTGTGCTAAATTCTCTCTGTTGAAATACTTAATCTAGTTCCTATTTTCCTGACTAATATGGATTGGGAAGTAAAATACATTTCCTGCTATGGAATGTCCGTCAAAAGAGTTTAAGAAACACTGCCTTAGAGGAGTGGGGAATTCTTAAATAAACAGACAGTTGCCCTGAGAGCCGTGGGGCCAGTCCTAACATGTAGAAGTACTCTGAATTTCAGGCCCATGAAGAGCAAAGACCCGATTCCACTACTGCAGCTGTCACTGTCCCCAGCCTGGCCTGTGGGGATCACTACAGATGACACTGCAGTTGTCCACCAGTTTGGCCTGAACTCCAAGCTTCATCTGGAATCTGACCTCTCAGACATGCAAAAACTCAGCTTCACTAGCTACCCTCTTACTCCTTATTAGCAAGGGGGAGGAAGCAGAAAGTTAATGAGGAAGAAAGCTAGGAAGTAGTACAGAGACATACAGTGAAGTGGAACTCGATGAGTGGAAGAGAAGCATTAAAAAGATAAATTTGCCGGGTGGCAATGTTGTCTCTCTGATGCTGCCTTTTCCTGCAGGTATTATGAGGAGATAATAGGCAAGAGAATGAAATGAAGAACCTTATACCTTATACTACATTTCTGCCTTATCCAGTCAACATGAAGTTTTGCTCTATTTTATTCGTGAACCAGTTATACTTATGCTTCAGTCTCCCATTAGAAGCGAGACTCACTTAATCACATATTCCTAATGAAAAGAACGGCTCCACAGTTTAGGAATTCAAAATATTTCTTATGTATGCCAAGATAAACACAAAACCTCTTGGCAGTAGTCTATGAGGATTCTCCTTGCTTATGATTTTGCATTTCTTTATGCAAATTTAGAAATATGAACAGAAAACCCAGGACTGGAGGCTGTTAAGTGGATTTGTAACACTTTGTTGTGGGCACATAATGAATGAATATATAGTCATCTGTGATAGCTAGTGGAATAGTATTTTCATTGAGCACTACAGTATGTCATCATGTATACTCTGCTAGATATTAATACATTAGCAATACTTCTTTCACCTAACTGTTTTAGGACCCTGCATTTAGTAGAGGAATACATAACTAAATGTGAATTACTCAGGCAAATGTTAGCAAGAGTCACTTCATTTGTGACAGGCAGGAGTATCTTCTAGTGAATTGAAAAGCATGTCACTGTCTGATTTATCCACTGAAGCATGTTACAATGTAGGTGGCATGTCACAGAGGAAAAGCAGCTTGCGATCAGGTTTTCTATTCACAGAAGACAGTGTTGTGCCAAGCAGCCCCAACCGCAAAACATTTCAAGTCTGAATGAAGAAAAGAGCAATACAGCTGGGATCCGATTTCCCCTTCTAAGGATGTACCTCCACCCTAGAGGGCCTCTCTCATTCCTGAAATCCTTTCTTTTCCTAATGGGGCCGGGGGTCCTGTTCTGCTTCAACTACAGAGAATTAAGAGTGATGAGCTGTGGAGGAAAATTTTATTTTCTTTCTTCCCTCTTGTGTCTCTGATGCATTTTAGGTCTTCTTTGTGATTTAAGTGCATAAATGACACAAAATTGTAAATGTTGGCCTCCACAAGTCATTCCTAAATGGTTAACTATTCAAGCAAACTGTTCGTCCTCCTATTCCCCTTGATGTTCTCTCCTTATGCTCACCAGGCTGCCTAGTTCCTTTTTCGAGTCTCACCTCAAACTTCACGAAACTTCCGAAAACCTGTCACTGACAGTAAAGAATTCTAGCAGCACTTATTCAACCTCATCCCAACTCCTTTTCTCCAAATCCCTTTTCCCCAAATCCGAAATTGAAGTTAAGATGAAATAAAGTAAAGATGGCGATTACATAAGATTTGGAAGAAACATATGTTTCTTCTTGCTTGATCTGTGTCAGGATTTACACCTTCATGACAGATAAGCCTTTGAGCTTTTTTAACTTTTTAAAACATATAAAAAAAATTGTAGAGTGTTGCATAACAAAAAAACCCACTGGTACCCACCACATTCTGATTTTGATGTTATTTCTTGGATGCATGTTTTTTTACTATTATTACATATCTCTGTAAGTATTATATAATATTTGCATGTGTTCAAGCTTTATATAGATGTTGTCATACTATGCTTTCTTGAGATGGACCTTTTTTGTTCGACATTGAGTTTCTGAGATTTATCCGTTAACAAACATAGATTTAGTTCACTCATTTTAATTGTTGTAACCATATAACACAATTCATCCATTCCCAATTGATGGATATTTGGGTTTTTTTTCTATCCTTCACTAGTATTAAAGAGTATACAATAAACATTCTTGGATATTTCCTTATACGTATGTGTGAAAGGTTTTATAGGAATAGAAGGGGAATGACAAATAGCAAAGCATGTTCATCGCCAATTTTCCTAAATTTTACCAATTGTACCCTAAAGTGGTTGTATCCATTTACACTCACAACAGCCATGTAAGAGAAATTCTACTTTATCTTATCTTGGAATTATTCAACATTTCTATTTTTGCTTGTCTGATGAGTATGAAAGCGTACTTGGATTTGATGTGGGTATCACTGTATGAGTGCTGTCAAGTCAGGAATATGAGCTGAAGCCAAGGAAGAGGAGGAAGTCAAATATAAATTAGGCAGCGCATTAGTTATCCACAGCTGCATAACAAATTACCGCAAACTTACAGTGTCAAAACAACATGTATTTAGCATCTCACAGTTTCTGTGGGTCAGGAATCCAGGCACAGTTCAGCTGAGTTCTCTTCTCCAGGGCGTCTCACAAGGCTGCAATCAAAGTGTTGACCAGGGCTGGGGTCTCAGCTGAAGCCATGATGGGGGAAGGATCTGCTTCCAAGGTCACATGGTGGTTGCCAGAATTTAGTTCCTTGCAGGCTGTTGGACTGAGGTCCGTCCTGAGTTCCTTGCTAGCTCTGAAAGCAGAGGCCGCCTTCAGTTCTTTGCTATATGAGCCTCTACATAGGGCAGCTCATAACATGCCAACTGGCTTCATCAAAGCCAGCAAGAGTGAGACTTGCTAGAAAAACAGAAGTCAGAATCTTAAATAATCTATTCATGGAAGTGTCATTCTTTGCATGTTCAATTGGTTAGAAGCAAGTCCCACATCTCACCCATACTTTAGGGGAGTATGAATAATAGGACGTGAGCATCATTACAGACCATCTCACAGTCTATCCACCACAGGCAGGAGTTAAGGATAGTGAATAGCCTGCCATTACAGATCCAAAATAATAGTGGCCTAAACAAGTGGACTAGAGATTCTTTTCTCCCTCATTTAAAAGTCTGGATAGGCATTGTAGGGCTGGTATGGCAGCTCCATAATCATCAGGGACTCATGCTCCTTCTGCCTCGTTGATTTGCCATTCACAACATGTAGCTTCTACCTCATTGTACAAGAGAGCTGCCCCAGCACTTGCTATGGTGCTGGATTCCAACCACTCGAATTCATTTTACATGCTATGGCCAGAATCATTGTGTGAAAATGCAAGTCTGATCAGATCACTTCTCTGGGTAAAACTCTTCAGTAGCAGTGCCAGCCTACAAGAGAGAATCCCAAATACTTTTTTTAAATCATCAAATCCTGTATTCGGTACAGATACACAAACACACACAAACACACTCAACCATGTATCTATAACTGAAATGTAAGTGTCATGAAAGGACACTCACACTTACTACATTATGTGCTCTGATATTACCTACCTTGTTTCATTTACATTTAATGTGTGAACTACTAATAGGTGTAGAGAAATACAGGGCACAGCGCAGAGTATATGGTGCTTGCTTTTCCTTATTCTCTGCACTCCAGCCTGCTCATACTGCCAGACCCCTGTGCAGACACAGCTCCTCCTTCTCCTACACCCACCTTCCACTGTGCCTTCTATTTCCCCAACTCCACTTGGCCCTTCAGAAACCCATTCCCCGACCCCTGTCCTCTTTCTGTATGCCCCGTAGAACCCTCTGCCCCCACCACCATAGCACTCTGCTGGCTCGAATTGTCTGTTCACTTCTCCGTTTTCCCACTAAACAACAGGCTCCTTGAGAATAGGGAGTAGGTCTCTACAGTTTTGTAGCCCTAGCCCTAGCATAGTGCCTGACAAAAAGTCAAAACTTAACAAATGTCTCTTATGTGACTAAATAAATGAATGAACGTCACAGAGAAAGAAGTTCCTGACAACATTTATTGAAAAATCTATTGTACATAGAACTTTGTGCTAGAGAGAATTATGAAAAAAATAGTGGAATTTGACAGTGCTAAATAAAAAAAACAGGTATAAAATGAACTGTACTTATAAATAAGGACTCTTTATATCTACAACTAAGTACCATCAGATGTCTCCCCACCAGTGGATTGAATGATGCAAGTGGGACTGAAAGAACTCGTTTCTTTCATCCCTTCTCTTTACTGATTCCCTCTTTTCATCTCATAAGGGAGAAACCTCAGACATCGCTTTCCTAACCCAGGTCTGCTCTCGAACAGTGAGGCCCAGTGTTGAGCGAAGAACAGAGCTGTTCAAGTGATTTTTAATCAAGCACTCCACATGACTAATTCAGGCCCTCCAAAATAGTCCCAGGGAGCCAAAATGAGGTAATATGGCATGTTACGGACTTGAAGGGCCATTAAGGACACACACAGCAGCTGGTGCAGAGGCCATTAGGAGGCAGAACATTCAGGAATGTGGCAGACAAGGGAATGTGGATCCAAGTGGATTCAGTGACTCCCTTCAAGCACTTCTTTGACCCTGGGGAGCCCAGTCTGCTCAGGTCAGTTCTGCAACCCTGGCTGGTGAATAAATGAATAAACTAGGCCAAAACCAGATGCAGGCTATATTAAAAGGAATTAAATATTGTAAGGTAACCACGCATGCTTTGGGCTTAATTTAAAATCCCAAGAGCAGAATAACAGCAATATAAATAACCTGACCTCTCTCAAAACACTGCCTTCTCCCACTGGTTATTAATAATAGCAACAGTTTGTATTTATATCAAGTTTTATAACCTATGAGATGCTTTATCTCATTTTATCCTCAGAGCAGCCCTGTGTTGTAGGGATAAGCATTATCCTCATTTTGTAGGTAGGTGAGGAAACTGATGTTCAGAGAGGTTAAACTACTCTCTGTAGGTCACACAGCAAGTAAGTGACTAGAACTGTTTGGGATTCTAATTTACAGGACTGCCAATCTGTTACAAGAGAACCCCAAGGCTACCAGCTATTAAGGTGTATGACCTCGGTCACGTCTTTCAATCTTTCTAACCTTCACTTCATCACTTACAAAAAATATATACATAATAATGCCTTCCCTATCTGCCTCAAAGGGTGCTTGTGAGGACAAAACAGTATGTATGAAAGTGCTTTATAACTAAAGTGGTAATTTACAGATGTCAGATATTAGCAATCTTTTCTAACAAAACAGTAATGCTTGTTATAATCTTTTTACTTTGATAGTGCCTTTCATTACAGCCATTCGATAATTTTGCAGCTTATTATAACCTATATAAC